TTTTTGATTGCCTCATCAAATCGAATATTCCAACGCCTAGATGCTTGCTTAAGCCCATAAATAGACTTCTTAAGCTTGCATACCTTCGTAGGATTTTCTGGATCTACAAAACCTTTTGGTTGTGTCATGTACACATCCTCCTCCAAGAAACCATTCAAGAAGGCGGATTTCACATCCATCTACCAAATTTCATAGTCACAAAATGCAGCAATCGCTATAAGTATCCGAACGGATTTAAGCATCGCTACCGGTGAAAAAGTTTCATCATAGTCAAGACCATGGATTTGCTTGAAACCTTTAGCAACCAGTCGAGCTTTGAAAACAGTTACATTTCCATCCTTGTCAGTTTTCAATTTGAAAACCCATTTGCATCCAATAGGTGTTACCCCATTTGGCAAATCAACCAAATTCCATACTTGGTTTTCTGACATGGATTCCATTTCGGATTTCATGGCTCCAAGCCATTTTTCGGAGTTTGGACTCGTCAAGGCTTGTTTATAACTAGTAGGTTCTTCTTGGTCCAAAATCATAATTTCAGAGCTTTCCGTTAACAGAAGTTCAACAAACCTCTTAGGTGGTCTTGTTGGTCTACTAGATCTACGTACGGGCTAAGCAACAGGAGAAATGTTCTTCTCAACTATTTGAGAATTTTCGCACGAATTTGATTCGAGTGAGACGATAGGAGGTTCTTGCATTGAATGCAATTCCTCCATCACATTGTTAGTAGTGAGGAGAGGATCGTGCGTTTCAAGCACTAGCTCTTCTTATTTACTAATGGCCTAATCGGTAAGAAATAGCCCTGTGATTGCATATCTGACATGGTTTTATCCACATCCATTTGTTGCTCTTCTTGAATTTCTTCGAGATAGATACTACTCCCACTTGTTTTTCTGGAAATAAAATCCTTTTCCATAAAGACACCATCTCGAGCAACAAACACTTTGTTCGCATTTCGGTTGTAAAAGTAGTAGCCCTTTGTTTCTTTAGGATAACCTATGAAGAAACATTTGTCAGATTTGGGAGACAGCTTATCTGAGATTAAACGTTTTACATAAGGTTCACAACCTCAAATTCGTAGAAAAGATAATTTTGGAACTCTTCCTGTCCATAACTCATATGGTGTCTTTTCTACTGCCTTTGAAACAACGGTTTCAAGGGCATGTCCCCAAAAGGATATTGGAAGATCTGCAAGACTCATCATTGATCGAACCATATCAAGTAAGGTGCGATTCCTCCTTTCGGATACACCATTTAACTGAGGTGTTCCTGGTGGAGTTAGTTGGGAAAGTATTCCACAACCCTTTAGATGATCATCAAATTCTTGGCTTAAATACTCTCCACCACGATCTGATCGTAGTGCTTTTACTGTTTTTCCAAGTTGATTCTGTACTTCATTCTAAAATTGCTTGAATTTTTCAAATGATTCAAACTTATGCTTCATTAAGTAAATATATCCATATTTACTTAAATCATCAGTAAATGTTATAAAGTAACTAAACCTTCCCCTGGCCATAGTGCTCATTGGTCCACAGACATCTGTATGTATGAGTCCCAAAAGATCACTTGCTCTTTCACCTTTTCCTGTAAAAGGTGACTTAGTCATTTTATCCATCAAACACCCTTCACATATATCGTATGATTCATAATCAAACGATGTCAGAATGCCATCTTTTTGCAATTTCTGAATACGTTTTGGGTTGATGTGTCCTAAACGACAATGCCATAAATAAGTAGGGTTCGAATCGCTTGATTTGTTTTTCTTGCAGTCTACGTTATAGATATTTTTGTCAAAATCTAATACATACAAACCATTAATTAATTTAGCACTAGCATAAAACATCTCTTTAAAATAAACCGAACAACTTATTTCAAAACTAAAACCTTCGGTGTCTAACACGGAAACTGAAATGATGTTTTTAGTAATAGAAGGAACAAAATAACAATTATTTAATTCTAAAACTAATTCAGAAGGTAAAGGTAGACTATATGTTCCAACTGCCAAAGCAGCAACTCTTGCTCCATTTCCAACACGCAATTCTACCTCTCCTTTAGCCAGCTTTCTACTTCTTTTTAGTCCCTGCACATCCGAAACAATGTGAGTACCACAACCGGTATCAAATACCCAAGAAGTAGGAGTTGTTAAATTAACTTCTATAACAAAGATACCTGAAGAGCCTGTCTTCTTATCTTCCAAATACTTTGGGCAGTTTCTCTTCCAATGGCCTATTCCATCACAATAGAAACACTTGGCATCCGCTTTTGGATCGACCTTGGGTTTAGATGTCTTAGTCCGAGCAACTTGCTTGCCCTTTCCTTTGACAATCTTTTTGCCCTTCCCTTTCCTCTTGAACCCCTTACCCTTTTGTACCATAAGAACTTCTTTCTTTGGTTTTGGAATGTCCATCTCAACAGTGACAAGCATTCTGTGCAGTTCTTCTAAGGTTTGCACTTTATTGTGCATGTTAAAGTTTTGCCTGAATTGCTGAAATCCATCATGCAATGACATCATGATTATGTCAGTAGCCATTTCAGTGGTATAGGTCATTCCCAGTTTAGACATTTTCTGGAACAATTCCATCATTTTGAAAACATGTTCTCCCACTGGTTCATCGACCTTTTGCACACATCGGAGCAACTCTCTATGAGTCTCGTATCTCTCTATCCTTGCTTGCTTCTGAAACATCTTTTTCAGTTGCTGGATAATGCTATGAGCATCCATACCATCAAACTTCTTTTGAAGGTTTGGTTCCATGGAAGCTAGCATAAGACATGTGACAAACACTAATTTGTCTTTAACACCCTTTTAACTGACCTTTTCAGCATCTGATGCTGTGGCTGTCAAACCTGGGATAGGGGTGTCAAGGACATCCTCTCTTCCTTCGGCCCTAAGAACAATTCTTAGGTTTCTTTCCCAATTAAGGAAGTTAGTGTTGTTCAATTTATCCTTCTCAAGGTATGAACGTAAGTTAGGACTGTTGTTGTTGTTGTTGTTACTAGACATGATATCTACAATAAAAATATAGCAAAGTTTAATTATATGTTTATTATAGTAGCATACAAAATTTGAACAATTCAAAGCTACTTATCACATTTTAAAATTTGTCCCATAAAATTCATGTGAATACCAAGATCCTTTAAAACAAAAATTTAAACGGACTTTGGCCCTATGTATAAAATCTAATGTTTTATTGGTAAGCAAACAATCTTTACTAATTATATCTCATATAATTCTTGGTCGATAGATAACAACTTTTGTTTCCATCTCTATGTTTCAAGACCCAAAACTTTGTTTTTTGATAATCTTGTTGAGCAAAACCAAACAGTGACATGTAAATTTCATAAATATTACCCTATATTCCCGAGATTATATGCAACACTCCGCTTTGGCGGAACCTATTACTTATGATCAAAGGCTTTATAGGTGTCTGTTTGGGAAAAACATATCTCAATATTGCTTTTAGGGACCTAATTTACTATGTTGGTTTATTTATTAGAGAACTTGTACCATAAATAAGAGCAACATATGTAAATTTAAATAAGCATAATAAAATGCAATAAAATTGTGATCGTAGTATGGCCCCCTAATCCTATGAAAAAAATTCTATCTTCATAGTCTCCAACCATGATTAGTCGCGAATCTCCATCCATTTAAATAAACAATAATTAAATTACAAAAATACAAACGGTGCGCAGACCATATTTACAAGAAATATTAACGGTACGCAGACCGTATTTTCTATTCTATTTTGGGTCATACTAGTCACCGACAATAATAATAATAATATCATATATAAATCAATATAAAATTGTCACATAATAAAATATCACATATTTTAATTTTGTCAAATATCCAATATTGGATCAAGTTACACGGTTTTAACACAACTTAAAAAAGATAATTTGATGAGAAGCACAATTAAATAGAAGGCAACTCATCATCGTACGGTTTCCAAAATTAAAAAAAAATGAAATAAATAAAAGAGAAAAGACCCAAGGAAACCATGAAACGCAACCATGAAAACGGCAGCCATAAAACCGATAATTCCCAGAAAAACCGTCAGCCATGAACCGTCAGCGAATCTATGAAATAGTGGCCGGAGAATACTCCTTGACCAGCGAATTTCTGAAATTCGTGGCCGGAGTTTACTCCATGACCACCGGATCTCTGGTCGTGCAACCCAACCAGCATCCCTTCATCGCCGGAGATGACTCCTCGACCACCGGAGCAGAAACCGTGGCCCATCTAAGATGGTTCTGCCACCCAGCCGTGGCTGCTCCCACTCAAAACTTTGCTTTTTTTTTTTTTTGAGTTAATTAATTTTACAACTTTTGTAAAATTATCGGTGATCTTTGACGCGGTTTAGTCTGATAAAAAGGCCTAATGTAACAAATTAATCAAAATCTCCATTCTAATTAATTTGGGGTTTTTAATTTTAATTTCAATAAACAAATACTTCCTCTCCTTAATGAAATTAAAATTAACAGTATACACATTAAAGTAATCAAATTAAGTATGATCATATTATCATATGCAAGAGGCTAACTGATACCACTGTAGGAACATATTAGATGCATTTAGCGGAATTTCAAGAAACAATTTCTTAGCACCTTAAACATGATCTCATGCATATAATAATATGAATTATAACATTAGAATATCATACCCTCAATGCGTGATTTCCACAAAGCAAGAGGACACTTCTTTCTTCAATTAGAGATCTTTAGAACGTCAATTGTCATTCCTCTAATATTGGTCCATGAACAATGGATGAATCTCCACGTATGCTAGTACGGAACAAGGAACAACTCCTTATAGCTTTTACTGGTGGTTATGTGTGAGAGAAGTTTTTGTGATTAATAAAAGATGTGATATTTCATTTATGTCACTTAATCATATTTATAATAAACTATTGCAACTCTTCACATAATCGCATCTCTTAGGTTTTAAGGCCTATTCATGCATCTTAATTCAAGCATATAGTGACCTCATAGGACCGGATTATTATTAGTAGTAAACTATTCACATTAGTTCACAAATCATAGTTGGTTTCTAGCAAAATATTATGATTACCTAAAATAACCGATTATAATTAATCTCCATATTTGTCCTAATTACAATTAGTAATTACAATTGATTGACGGACATTTCCTTCAATATAGTATGATGATTGTTGTTTTTCTTGCTTTTTATATGATTGTTGTTATCATAAGATTGTTTCAGTATATAAAAGTTTTTTTTTTTTTTTTTGAATTTGATGTTATTTAGTGTTAATTGCAGGTGAAAAATCGCTGGGCGGGGAAAACTATTGTTGACATGTTCTCTGAGGACATTAGAGGGCTAAATCAGAATTACTATGTAAGTAAAGTATCTCAATTTCGTACTTTTGTAGTTCATGTTTTGTATGAATCTAGGAAACGTAATGGAATGGAAGCGGAGACACAAAGGAATTGGGCTATTTTATAAATTTAATTTGTTTTCTTTACCTTATCCTCGTGTTATATAACTCTTTCTATAAAGCATTAAATATTTTTAAAATATGTTAAATTTCAAAGCGCTCTGCTGTTATTGAGCATTGAACTTGAGACCTCTTAACTGTTTGTATGAGCCCAACTGAACTACAAAACTACTGTTAGAGCAGAGAGATGATAAGGTAGAATTTTAGAATCATTAATGCTAAATATTTCTTTGCTATGGTTCTTTGATAAAAAGTATGGAAAAAAACAGAAAAAAAGGAAAATGGAGGAATAGGAGGGGATGGAAAGGATGAGAGGAGGAGAGGAGTGAGGTGAAAAACATAGAGGAAATTTATGTCACTCCTTCCTTCCAAAAGAAATTTAAGTTCCATTCTCTAGATTTTATTATTTACCAAACTTCCTTTTTCTCGTTTTCTCGCCTTTTCTCGAATTGGTTATCTTGTTATGTCTTTTTTTCTACGTGCTACGGTTCCTTATGACAATTGATGTTAGCTGACCCCAAATCATTTTGGGACTGAGGCTTTTTTGTTGTAAGGAATACTTCTTCACCCCTTCTACAAATTATATTGGAGGAAATTAAGAAAACCTTATTATTAGTATTTAAGTTTCCATTGAGATTGTTATTTTATGTTATTTTTTCTTGTGGAAGGGAAAAAAATATTTTCAAATTAGCTCAAGGAGAGCACATAGCACCAGAGAAAATTGAGAATGTGTATGCCAAGTGCAGATTCGTAGCACAGTGCTTTGTATAAGGTATGATTCTACAATTTAACCACTCTTAAATTTCATTATTTTTATGCTTGACATCTTTGACAGGTGACAGCTTAAATTCCTCTTTGGTAGCAGTTGTTGCTGTCGAGCCAGATGCATTAAAGGATTGCTTTTTAGTGTTCCTGTAAGATGTGAGAACTTGCTGGTTTCTGTATTCTTATAGCCACAAGAAACCAGATAGTCATGCTAAATTGATACAACCTTTGAATTTCTTTGACATTTTATCTTCTTGGAATATAATGAGATACTAAATAGTCATATTAAGGCACCTGGACGCTATGTGAGGTGTATACTTGAAGCACTCTGTCACCCTTTAGAATAAATTTTAGCTTCATTATTTACATGTTCTATACATTATTAGTTGTTGCCAGAGCATTGTTTCGTTGTATTTAAATATTGTTTGTGTGTGGATGCTTCTTTCCCAAACTTAGGAAGAGTTGAAGGAGGCTTTCATTTTGGATAGCAATGTCTCACTTAACTATGGAAATGAATAATTACCGTCAGTTTTGGATATCCATGAAAATATTACTACGTCGTATTAATATTGGAATTTGGAACTGAATAAGATGTTTCTTCTTTTTGTATCATGTGTAACCATCAACAATGAATTTTTCCCGTGCTTAGCCATATTGTGAATTTGTGATTGCTTCTACAGGTTTTTGAGAGTTTGGTTTGCTGTGGGAGTTGGTTTCAGTTTAACTTTGCCTTTTGGAGTCACCATGGTTAGAAAAATACCCAATTTTTTTTTCCCTTTTTCCCACCTTTCTTGATTCATGCATAACTCTGTCTGATTTATGTGTGGGCAGATTCTTATTTGGGATTCAGTGGCTACTTTATGTCTATCTGATGGAAGCGATAGGATTAGTAACTTCGACGAATTCCAATTGCGGTGTTGCAGTAAGACATGAAGAGGGTGTTAAGTTACAGAAGTTTTCAGGGTCAGCAAGCGAGTGCGTGGTACCAAGGTTTACAGTCTCAAGTATGATCAGCCCTGTGATATACATTCTTTCGGGATGTGTGCTTCAGAATTCAGATGATGAGTAGAGAAAATATTTACAGTGAATGCAGGAATTGGAATGAGATTGAGATGATGATTACGAGAGGTGTAATGCCTGCTGCACTAAAAATGCAGTAGCAGATGATCAGATTAAGGAGTTTATTAAGAGTTGTCTGGTTGGTTCAGTAAGAGAACTGCTGCATCTGATCTGCTGAGATGCCCGTTTATCATAACCAAAGATTTGTTTGCTGATATAATACTAACAAGGGAGACCAGCATAGGTAATTCAGAAGCTAATGAGAGATGGCATCGAATGGTTCAGAGATATGATGAAAAAGGCAAAGGTGTTTGGAGTCCAAAGCTGTCAAAACTGAAATCAATTTTTCTCAAGAACAAATAAATGATTGATTATTTAGTACAACACTAAACTTTTACAAGATTTTAATAGTTCTTTTATGTTAGATTACATATCAAAATTTGTTATTAAATTTATGTAGTATGCTAGTAAGATTATTTAGGGTGTCAATCAATAAGTATGATTTTACTCAGTTTTAGGTTTCTAACATACTACCTAATAAGTATGTATGATTTTACTCAGTGTTTTGTATGCTTATTTGTTATCAGTTGTAAGTGTTTGATTTGTGTCAAGAACAATGCTAAGTTAGTTGATTGGAATAAAATTCATTATTAAGCAATTTATTTATCTTTCTTTAGATTCAATTGCTGGATTATTATATGGATAATATGACCTAAGCTCGGGATATATATTCTGAAGTCATTAGAATTGTTACTTCAGATGTTTATAGCTTGAGTCATTCATATTAGTATGATATATGAATAAATTTTGTTACTCTAAATGTATATGTATTGTGTCATAATCTAGAGTTTATTTGAGTCAATTTACGGAATATAATCTAAAATCTAAAAATGTAATCCATAAGAAGAGATGAAATAAAAATTAGAAGTTAAGAGCTCTATTTTGACTATAATAAAAATGATTCGAATATAAGTTAATTGTTACATGCGTAAAAAACATGTATAATTTCTTTCCTTCATCTATGAATCATTTATTCGGTTTTATTACTAATGCAACTATTTAGTTAGATCCTTTTAATTAATCTCTTCATTTTCATTTAGTTATTTTTCGTTATATTTCATACAATAAACTAATCAAAGATTATAATTCAATTTTCAGCTATTCATTATTCAAGTAGGATTCTTATGAGTTCTCAAAAAAAAAAAAAAAAGTAGGATTCTTATGAGTTCTCAAAACAAAAAAACAAAAAGTAGGATTCTTATGAGTTCTCAAAACAAAAAAAAAAAAAAAAAAAAAAAAAAAAAAAAAGTAGGATTCTTATGAGACTTGATAATTATTTTGACTTTTGATTTTTTTTTTTATTGAACCAAGTCATTTCATTAATAAAAAATCATACAACAATTACATGTGAAATCTATATTAACAAATACATAAAACATAATCAAATAAAAGTTTCCTTCATCAAAACTACCGTGGTTGAGTAAATAAAAATAATAATAAAACCCTATAGGATAAAAGAGGAGAGAGAAGAGAGAAAAGGAGAAGACATTCATATTTTTCTGGAAAATGACCTTCAACTTCTAATGATTAAATCGTTATTTGTTCATAGCAAATTACAAAAAAAAAATAAAAAATTGGTGAATATTTACAACATTTTTATTAAAAAGGAAAAACTGCCCATAATAATCCCATCTTTGGGTTATTTTTAAGTAGTTGGAGCTGGGAAGTAGGAGAGTTTCCAAAACTCCCACGCCTTTCTTGGTTGGAAAGCACGCAAGCCGTTTTCTTGCTCCGCTTTTCTTTTTTTTTCGTCGAGACTGGGTTGGTCTGCATTTTCTCTTCTCTTGCTTTAGGAAAGTGTATCAATAATCCGACCTTTATACCCAATACGCTCAAAATGGTCCCAACCGGTCATGTAACCTGTTATAACAAGTTACCTGACACGTGGCGGTCTGTGATTGGTAAAAAAAATTTTTTTAAAAAAGTTAGATTTTTTAAAAGAAAAAAATTAAAAAAAACCACCCACCAGCTACCTGAGCCCGATCCCCTAACCCGCGGCTCTGGCCACCGAGCCCCAACCACAGCGCCAGCGTCGCGACCGACCCCTCCCTTGAACCACCAACCCCGTCCCTCCCTCCCTCACACGGCATTCCCCTACCCTCGAAAACCACTTTCCCGTCCCAATCCCAGCCCCCTCCCCTGAAAAATAGTCGCATATACATTTAGATTGACGACCAAAAGTGTAGCCACAGTATCAGAGAACTTCCATTTATGATCAGAGCAATTTCATATTATCTGAGTATCAGATGACAATCAATCACAATTAGAATGTGATTTACACTAGTCAAATATAGCCCTACATTAAAACAACTAGAACCAAAGTTTCAGAAAGCTTTGTTTTATTTTTACCACAATCAGATCACTAACCTAACCCATGAAACATAAAGTCATGCATGATTCCAGCACGACAGCAAATCAAATAGCTTGAGCAACCCCAATTAAAATCAAGAATCACAGTGGTTAGAAACGGAGTTTTCGTGTAACACGTAGCCATGCCACAGCCGCAACTACAGCACCACCCAGGTGAGCTGATCCAGATATGTTTTGATCCCCCTGCAGACAATATGATATGGTTAGTTGCAGCATATCTAGCAACATCACAAGTTCAGACATGCAACTATAGAATAGCTTGTCAGTATGATTTCGATTTTCAAAGTTGGATAGGATTGTTATTACATTTTTTTTTTTTCTTTTCATAGAGGAAGTTGTTGCTAATAGGAACAAAGAACAAGCATAATTAAAAGTCTGCGTACCTCTAAAATCCTCAACACATCCTTTCCAACAAGAAAGACTCCCTGATATCAATTGAATTGATTAAAAACTGCATATATATATATATATATTTAAACATTTAACAGTAAGCTTATTACAAAAGTTAGAGGAGTTACCAGCAATATGGCAGGGACAGGAATGAAGAAGTCAAACATGATCGTCTTTCTTGGGAAGAGGAATATATCAAGAAGCAATATGGCATTGACTGCCCCACTTGCACCCTAGAAGTAAACTAGTGAGAACATTAACAAAATTCCTAAAACAAATTGAATGACATTCTGAATAGAACCAAGTCTCTCAAGAGATAAATTAAGTCAAAAAGCGAATAAAAAAACAACAGCAACAAAGCCTTAGTCCCAAAGCGAATATACAGGATAAAAAATTAGTACTACATAATAAGAGATGAAATAAAAATAAGAAGTTAAGAGCTCATATTTCAGTGATAAAACATGAGTTTAGTGGACCCAATTCATTTTGAAATCATGTACAAGATCTCAGAGACCGCCAATTCTTTCTCCTCTCATTGTAATAGATTTATTCTCAAATCACCCCTCCACTTTATAAGGAATCAACAAAGTGAATAAGCCTAGTGCATGAACTATGGACACTAGTATTGTTAACTGCAGAAGCTTGTTTGAGGAATAAAGACTTAGGCAGTCAATTTACTTGTTCCTGAGCCCTGCAGTTAAAAGTTTGCATAACCATCTCACCAATTTCTAACTGTTTGGACTCAAAAGTCAATAGATACTCCAATAAAATAAAGAAGAAAAGGGATTTTTTCACATGAACTTCAATCTTTTCCCTACAATCTGTTGGTCTTTCCACCTTATATTAAAATGATCTCCACAACTAAAAGGCAGATAAGGATATTGATTGTTAGAAATTATTGATCAACTTAAAACAAATATAATCGAAGCTAGAATAGGATGAGCTTAACGTTGTCCTTAGGAAAATATTAGCCCCCACTATAAATGAGATTAAGGAACTAATTTACCCCCAAGATCCATCCTAATCATTTCTATAGACACAATATTTGTAATTTTTACAAAGAGAATAAAATAGATTGATATTTTTTAACATAATCTGCCCATTTGAATTTATAAGAAAAGATAGCAGTTATCTAACCGCCAATAAAAAAATTGGCCAATTGACCAAATTGATAAATTAAAAAGACCCTTAGTCACAATTTGGTAAAAAAAAAGAAATAACTCCAGTGACAATTTGGTAAAAAAAGCTAACCCCAAGTGACAATTTGGTAAAATATATAATCTCATGTGACAAACAACCGAAAAATTACAAAATTTCCGACAAACTACTCTCGAATGCTTAATTGAGTTCGTTTTTCATGGGCTCTTTTTTTTAAAAAAAATCCCTCCTAATTTTCCAACCCTTTATAAGGAAATAACAATTTAAAGAAAAAAATGTTTAAATATTAATTTTCACTTAAATTTTCTACCCCTTATTAAGGAAATTTTCTAAAAAGAGGGTTGGAAATAAATTTGGTATCGGGATTTAGCAAAATAAAAAGGGGATGAAATATTAATTCAAAATTTTAAATGGGAAAAATAAATTTAAAAAACACAAAAACGAATTAAATTAGAACTTTAGAAGAGTTTGATGGAAGGAAAAAAAAAAAAAAAATTGGTCTAAATGTTGCTTGAGTTTATTGTTTTTACCAAATTGTCGCATATGATTAGCTTTTTTTTTACCAAATTGTCGCCGGAGTAAGTTTCTTTACCAAATTGTCACTTGAGATCTTTTTTTTACCAATCTGGTCAATTGGCCTTAACTAGTTCGCTTACTTTTTTTTTTAGCTCGTGTCTCGTGCAAAGTGCTAAGCATTAGTCCTTGACTCTAAGATTAGAAGCATACTTAGTCTTTGACTCTATGATTAGAAGCATACAAACATTTTTTTTAATATCATATGCAAGCATGCTCAAGCTCATATAAAAGATTCAATTCAAATAAATAATCATTTGCACATAATGGTTATAAAGTTATAAATAAGATAAACTACTATACTCTTAACTTTAATACTCAAAATAATATCAACCTCTTTAAGAAAATTCAAGTAACAAAACAAAATTTTAAAAAATAAAATAATAATAAAAGCACTGATTCTCTCAACTTTGATACTGAAATTAATATCAACCTCATTCCAAGTCTTTTATTTTAGATCATGAACTCAAGTAAACCAACTATCCCACTACTTGCTTCAATTTTCTGAAGAATTAAAAATTATAGCATTACCATGCCTTTTTCATAGACAAGGTAAGTCGCAATTATCTACAGTAGATAAACAGCTGATTGTTGTAAAACTACAAAAGAATGGAAACTACCCTATGAAGAGCCTCATCAAAAACTTACCAGCCCAGGAGTTCTTGATGGATCCCTTCTGAAGGTTCCCTGTCCCAGCAGAGAGCAACATATTAAAGAAAAGTGATGCATGTACTCTATAGGTCAAACAATGAACTTGCAACCGATCAAACTTGAAATCAAAAGATAAAACATTAGCACCGAAAGGAAAAATAATAATTAAATATATATAATAATAGAAATCAACAACCATACTAAAAGGCAGAAGAAAAGATATATTTCTCTTCAATATTTTCATAGTGATATTCCACACAATGTTCAAAAAAGAGTAGTCAATGATCCATACACCACACATGTAAGTCAACCTTGATCCCTTATACCTCATATGAATTAGCGAGATAAGCATGGTGCACCAAATAAAATATAGATCCAACAACAGCCCCAGCGACATACAGCTTCAACAGATACTCTGGTCCAAACACACTTCCAATCTGCAAGAACAA